ATGTTTTTTTTTTGTGTGTGTGTGTTGGTTAGGAACAGCGTTGTCCAAGTCCAGGCCTTAAGAGCTACTTATCTCCATTTTTAGACTCCATCACACCTGAATCAAATGAAAGTATCACCACCGAGCCTCTGCAGAGCTGAACAACAAGCTGGAGGGAAAATTTGACCATTTGTTTAAGTGCATTGGGGTAGCATTACGGCTAAGAGTTGCAGAGTAGTCTCTCTTCAGGAATGGACTTAGGCAACGTGGTCTGGAACAAACAGTCCCGATGAAATGCAGCACAACAAGCCTGATATTTAGGAGAAATATTTCTCTTTCTTAAGCACGCATCCTCTAGTCTGTGCATTTTTTAAGAGATTTTCCTAAGGAAGAGATTTAGACAATCCAGCTGTCGTATAATCCAGGTGAGACCCCTGCTGCTGTGCAAATAATTGCTCATAAATGCACAGGCACGCCTTTGGCTGCTCTCCAATACTGCATGAAGTGTCCACTCATGGTGGAGAATCCTGGGTCTGATCTCTTCGTGTCACTTTGTAATGGGATTGTAATTGGATATTTCTCAGAGGTGCCTCAGCGAGTTCAGGGATGGGTTGATGGATAGACATAAGGATGAGGAAGCAGAGAAATGACAAAGGAAGAGTAGTTCCGCTTCAGGTGTGGTGCCAGTGGACATTTTTTAAAATATTCTATTGTGTTTGATTCTAAAAGGACTAAATTCAGGACACAAAAGTCTGACCACTCTGTATTATATGCCTTTTTATGCACTGATTCTTGTTAGGCAGCCTTAGAATAGACATAAGCTTTGGAGTCAGAGATGAGAACAATAAAGATAAACTATGACCTCAATTACTTAAAATGGCTCTGCACTTTGTTGGAGCAAAATTGAGGTCAGTGTCTGGGTTGAAGGTAGTTGATCCTTTACTAGAGACTGCTGTATGTCTTGAGGTCCTGTACAGTCATGACAGACCATAATAATCCTTTAATTGCCTGCATTGTAGCTGTATATCTAATCCTTAAGGCACCCATATTTAAGTTATTTGCTGTTTAAAGAATTTGTTTTTTTCCTTTAAGCTGGCAGGAATTTTAAAATCAATGCATCCGGACAAGCAAACAAAGCGCTGTCACAGAGAATACCTCAAAGCCTGGAGGGTTTTTTCAGTGTCTTGGCAGAACGACTGAATTTGTGGAATAGGAAAGAAAGTTCTATCCTCCTCAATTTATTCACATTGATCGTGTGCTGCATTGTTATTATAAGGTCCATATCTTAAGGGCCACTATTGCAAGAAAGACATTAATTTATCGAAGTTGCTTGAAAGATTGCAGATTTGAAAGCAAGTAAACCCTGCAGTAAACCCAAGACAGATAGGTTCTCCGCACAGCTCGCAGAATATTTATCAGTTTAAGTGCCCAAAGTAAGCAGTCAAAATTAAATGAAGCTGCAAGTGTTGAAAGGCCCTGGTAGAGGCTTGCAGTGGTTTTGGTCATGGGTTTCAGTTATTGTGATATCTGTACAGTCTACAGGCATCATAACTGAATGATAAGGCTGCTTAGCCCAGGGCAAACCAATGTCAGGTTAGGTATGTGATTCTTTCAAGAATATACTGCAGATTAAGGAGTGTTAGTAAATTGTTATCCTCCTGTAGCCGAATTCGGGCATTTTATGAGTGCTGCAAAAAGAGAATTATCTCATACAAGATTGGGCATGTTTCAAGACAAACAAATGCTCAAAGCTGAAAATGAGAGAAGTATTCCTGTTGCTGTGCTTAATTCAGCGTCCCTGTTTTTTCCTTAAGGTCTCATTCTCTTCTTATCACAACCTAAATGGACCACAGGCCTATCTTGACATGTCTAGAAAATACAGTAGCTGACAACGAGTCCACCAATCATGTGGAAAATTGTCTCATACTTTTGCATCACTATTTGCATGAGTTGATGGTCTAACAACAGAGGTGGATGAAGTACTCAACTGTAGTACTTGAGAAAAAATGTTGATACTCATAGTCAAATTATACTCAACCACAAGTAAAAATTACTTGGTCAAAAATCTACTAAAGTTAAAGTACCAAAGTACTCGCTTTTGAAAATATTTAAAAATATTTGCATCTACAGTAAATGTGCTTAACTATCGAAAAAGGCATATAATTTGTTTTGTATCAGTACAATAGTAATTTTAAAGAGCCTTGTAACTTTCAGAAACCACCTGATATACACCACATATAACAAACCTCAGTATAAAAACGCCAAAAGGACAGCTATTTTGATTAATATTTTTTATTGAAAAATGAACCAAAAAAAGAAACAGGAGTGTCTTTATTCTCCTCCTAACACTTTAACTGTAGGATGGAAGTTTAAGGTTGAATCTATCACCACAAGGAAACTACAACTCTGGCTACGTTCACACTGCAGGCCTTGATGCTCAATTCCGATTTTTTTGTGAAATCCGATTTATTTTTTGTGTTGCCGTTCATATTTCCATATATATGCAACTTGTATGTGATTTCCTGTGTGAACTGCATTCATACAATACAAGTGTCCCACATGCACGGTAGAGGATGCAATGACGTCACAGGCCAGTGTGCTCTATGGTAGTACCGGTGTGCATCTAGAGGTCTTTTCCAACGATAAAAGCTCAATCTTTTCACATGGTTAAACATAAATACTGCTCTCCGCATCATCATCTGCCATGGTTGTTGTTTTTGTTGCAGTGCATTCATAAAAATACCAGCTTCCCTACCTTGCCACACAATTTCCAGTAATGATTCTGCTTGATTAGACTATCGTTTGACTCTCCTTTGCTTTTAGTAACTGGAAGTGAATCAAAAAAGCCAGATTTGCAAGTGGTTTCATAACCAGTGAAAAGTGATTCACTGACAATGGNTATCACAACCTAAATGGACCACAGGCCTATCTTGACATGTCTAGAAAATACAGAAGCTGACAACGAGTCCACCAGTCATGTGGAAAATTGTCTCACACTTTTGCATCACTATTTGCATGAGTTGATGGTCTAACAACAGAGGTGGATGAAGTACTCAACTGTAGTACTTGAGAAAAAGTATTGATATTCATAGTCAAATTTTACTCAACCACAAGTAAAAGTTACTGGGTCAAAAATCTACTAAAGTTAAAGTACCAGTACTCGCTTTTGAAAATACCTAAGTATTCAAAAATATTTGCATCTAAATGTGCTTAACTATCGAAAAATGCATGTAATTTGTTTTGTATCAGTACAAGAGTAATTTTAAAGAGCCTTGTAACTTTTAGAAACCAGCTGATATACACTACATGTAACATACCTCAGTATAAAAGCACCACAAAAAAGGACAGCTATTTTGATTAATATTTTTTTTTTGGTTTGAAAAAACGAACCAAAAAATGAAACAGGATTGTCTTTATTCTCCTCCTAACACTTTAACTGTAGGATGGAGGTTTAAGGTTGAATCTGTCACCACAATGAAACTGCAACTCTGGCTACGTTCACACTGCAGGCCTTGATGCTCAATTCAGATTTTTTTGTGAAATCCGATTTTTTTTTTTACTGTGTGCTCTATGTTTACGGAAGTAAACATTGATGGTAATACCGGTGTGCATCTAGAGGTCTTTTCCAACGATAAAAACTCAATCTTTTCACATGGTTAAACATAAATACTGCTGTCTGCATCATCATCTGCCATGGTTGTTGTTTTTGTTGCAGTGCATTCATAAAAATACTAGCTTCCCTACCTTGCCACACAATTTCCAGTAATGATTCTGCTTAATTAGACTATCGTTTGTCTTATCTAATTCCCAAAACCCGTCTCTCTGAAGTAAATTCACAAAAGCCTGCCTTCTTCTCTCTGACTCTCCGCAAACTTCCTGATTGTTACGATCGCCTCCATGTTGATTTGCTTGTTTACCTCTAGAGAGCAGTAGTACCGTAGATCGTCAGTAGGAGGCGAGGAACTGTGCTAGCATGGTGTGTAAACGTTCCTAAGGAACCAAGCTTTGCACGGTTAACTGATCCAAGCACGGCACGGATCAGTTTTCAGAGGGTAGTGTAAATGGGGCTATTGTCTAATTGAACCTGACACTTTTTTGTCTCTGACACATGACTCTCCTTTGCTTTTAGTAACTGGAAGTGAATCAAAAAAGCCAGATTTGCTAGTGGTTTCATAACCAGTGAAAAGTGATTCACTGACAATGGGCAATAAGTGGGGGAGGGGGGAACCTAAAGAGAAAACTCTGTTTAGCCAACACTCTCATTCATAAGAAGGGATATTAAAATCTCTTGTACAGCTGGGAGGATACCAATAAGGCCATTATAGCTTAGAAGTACATTTAACCTCGAAAGCAGAGTGACTGCCATCCGCTCCGTGTCTCATCCCTCTTGTTAATTACCCGTTCTGTTTCAGCAGCCTGCAGACACAGTCTATCTTAACAAGTTAACAGGGAGGCTTAATTGGATGAGACAAGCAGATATTTTGGTGTGCCCCCTCTGCTTTCTGTTCTGAAATATGGCCTAAAGGGTGTTATTAGCAGCTCTCCGTCAGAACGCTTCTAATAACTCTGTTCAACAAGTGGTTTTTATGTAGATTAGTGCAAACTGGGCAATGTGATGTGCTGTTTTAGGTGGGAAGTCAGAGGGTTTCCCAACCCTCAACATTGAGACTCTGGGAGAGGTTACCTTTACAATCCAGAGTGTCCTGAACTGATTGACAGATTTATGGTGACATTTCTGCTTCAGCCTGGAGGGAAACCCAAAGATAAAATAGAAAAAGGTAAAGTGCATGTAGTGCATCCTGACAGTATGTTTACCATATAGATTCAGAGCTGTCAGCAAGAGACTTGCTGCCACAGCGATTGGTCACTACTCTGCTCCCCCCTTCTGAGATGAGTGGTGACAAAACGTCATCACCGCCGTTCGTATTGCCATCCTAGAATACGAAGGAGAGCTGTGTATCTTTGAGTGTGTGGGTGCTGATCTAAGCATCTGAGTAAATCAAACAAAAATCATGTCTCAGCAGGAGAGGATCCTGAGACGAGGCGTATGAGGACGGTAAAGAACATCGCTGACCTGCGGCAGAACCTGGAGGAGACCATGTCCAGTCTGCGGGGGACACAGATCAGCCACAGGTAGGCAGACAGATGGCATTGCCTAAATGAAGTTCCATCAAAGTGATTTTTTGAAGAACTAGGCGACAATCTGCCTCTACAAGCAATCTGAGCTAGTATTTACCTCTTTAAGTGAATCCTTAACTCTACTGTACCTCTACTGTACCTTTACTATGCCCTCACTAAGATTTAACTCTAACTTCCTTTTTTCATATTTTAGATTCTTTCGTAAATAAACATTTCTTGACTCGGGAGAGATTTGTAAAAAGCAACTAATAACTGCTGCTAAATGTTTCTCTGTACTGTGATATTTACACACCTCTCCTTTGGTTAAAAGCTGAGTTTTTAGGATTTTTTAACAAATGCATCTAGTAGCTGCAGCTGGCTACTTAAACACATTGATCTTTTTGTAAATGGAAAGTTTCAGAGAAAACTGCCTCAAAATGAAGGAAGTGATCATTTGTATCAGAGATAATCAAACAAAGGAACTAATATAGGTCCTTAATGACAAAAATAGATGTTTAGGTCGTTATAACATCAGGCATGTCTTCAGTTATGACCGACAAGAGATTTTCAAGTTGCACTTGGGCAAAAAGAAAACAAAAGGCTATCTTTTCATCACTCTGTGATTTCTATCTTAGTTCCAACAGGCATCCATGTCTTTGGGCTTCATGTTTGATAAAACTTGGATTCTCCTTTCTCGCCACTTGATACTCTGCCTCTCAACACCTGATATAATCTAACTAGCTCTCTAGAAACCTGTGAGCCATTGGCCCGATGGAGAATCTAAGAACACAAGGTGAATAGAAAAGGATAACCATCAGTATTTGTCAGCTCCTGGAGCAATGGTTCACTCCCCCGTCTCGCTCCTCTCCTCCCTCAGTCTATTATTTTATGTGTTTTGCCCCATTTAGAGAGGAAGATGGTGGCCAGGCTGCCGACAGCCATGACAGATGGTAGTCTGTGGCTGTGTGTGTGCATGAATCTGTGTTTGCTTTCCACTCGGAGTCTCGGCCAGGGAAAGATCAATATAGCGCCATTGTATTACCACTGTTTAAAAAGACATGAGGATTGGAGTGTGAGGTGTATGAGGGGGAGAGACTTCTCATTTATGAGCATTGATGGCACCGGGACAGTTAGTATGAAGTATTTGATGCACGCGTCATCAGAACTTATTATTAGCAGTTTGAGCCTCCATGATCCGAGATTTAATTTAAAAAGTAATCCAGTGCACCCCTATCTTGGACATGTTTATTTGCTCAGCGTAAAGTGAGCTTCAGACTCTGCATGCCAATTTGCCCCTGTGAAGAGGCTGGTCAGGCCATGATAATCTCTGCTCTGGATAAAAGAGTGCTGTCATCAGCATGATGGTTTGGGTAATGAATCTTTGTCATTATCCCTTGTCCAGTATTTTCCCTTAATACCATTTCATATCCCAGTAAACCAGCTGCAAGGAGTGTAGTCTTCTTAGTTTTGATTAAAGACACTAGACAAAAAAGACATAAATGACTGATGACTATGTCAACATTTTCTCCATTGTTTCATCCGATCTTCTGAATAACCTTTCATTGATCCATCTATCTGCAAATATAACCTTTATTTAACCAAGTAGATCTTATTGAGTTTACAAATGTATTGATCTTAGGAAAATTCCTTTATCCATCCATTCATCTTCCCATGAAATCGTCCATCCATATATTTACATCTTGTTTAGTGCTGCATATGCTACTGTGTATAACTAGCAGCACTATTGGCCAAAATAGGGTTCATCCTATAATGGTCCGCTAATACTTTTAGAGTTCCAAGAGCATACAACAGATGCAATAGCAAAACAGAAGAAAGCGCCAGCATTAGACTCTGGCATATCACATCAATAAGGTGAAGACCTCACACATGGCTGCTTGGTTAGCAGAGCAACAGCAAAAATATGGCATATGAAATCCTCCTGCACCGAAGGTCTGTTGCCTTGCGGCTAAACAGTTCAATATGTGGGATGCAGAAATGTCTGCTCACTGCTATATGACCATGCTGACACCAAGTGTTGTTAGTAAAAGCCTCCTTCATTGTCTCAGTTTTCTAAATGTCATCACTAAGAAGAATTGAAGCAGGTTTTCTACTAATTTCTATGAAAGAAACAAAGTCATCCTCAGAGTATTCTGAGTGGCAGGTCAAAATAATTAACCATGAGTTACTTCTTTTTTTCCGATGTTATTGTATATCTGTTGCTGTTTAATAAAACATGGTTCTGTTCTGCATTCTACAATCCCAACTCTTTGACCTAGGTTTTATTTGCACCCGATGTCATATTTAGCCATCAAACTGATACTGAACTACAAAACTCGATGATTTTATTGTTGACTGTACGAATAAGAGAATCCCTTTTAATTTACCAAGGTCTAAATGCAGAGAATACTATGCCAAAGAGATTGCTGAGTTAAGGGCTTTATATGCATGGGCATTCTGCACTCTTTGGTGGTCTTCGCATACTAAAGGCACAAGCGAGGCAGGTTTAAAACTGACATCCATGCAAAGATCCATGTTTACAACCACGTACACTTAGTTGATGTCACACAATAAACTGCCTGGCGAGAAACGGTGTTCACAATAGACGGTTTTGTATCTGACACCAAGCAGATAGGTTGAGAATTGGCGCCACCTTGTGGACAAAATGGAGATAAAATTTGAAGAGTGTCTTCCGGAGGAAGTTAGAAACGTAATGCCTGAAACACTCGTGTTTAGTCTCCATCCCGTCATAGCTAAAGCTCCTTTAAATGTGATCAATCTTGGAGGACTCAAATTGTATATCTGTTTCAAATTGCAGTTTCTCAGAGCTGTTCATCTTTTAAAAAGTTTGTGCATTCCTCAGAGGCTCACTATATTGAAGGATACACATTAGTTAAAGCACCCCAGTGGAGGTTGTATGAACTACATGGAAAGGGCAAGTGGCAGACATGATGAAGTCATTTTTAGTTAAGGATTTCTGGCGGTTAAGTCTAAAACATCTTTCTCAAAGATTATTTAGGATGTAGTTAGTTTTGAATTCACATTACATTAAGGGTCTGATCTTATATGATTTCAAATATAGGTTAAATTGCACTTCTAGTTATTTGTTTTGCAAGTTGACAAAGCCAACGTTTTGCAGGGGATTTCCGTACAAATGTCAAGATGTAAACTGATTTGTTTCCAACCATTAAAAGAAGCAAACAGTTTGAGAGTTGCTGTAAAGAAAGATGAGGTTCTAAGCCATGTAGTAGGATATCTGTTTGTACTTGTTTTCTGGGACCAAGTTGCAGGGCCAAAAGTCCCAGCAGAAACTCCAGACTTTTCTCTCACAAGATATCTACCCCAGCTCTCCTCTGAGGGAAACCAAGAGGTATAGTCCCCCCATTGGGTCTGGGGTCAGCCCCTGGGCCTCCTCCATGTTGGTGTCGAGGAGAAGCGGCTCTGCTTTTAGCCTCTCCTAGATGACAAAATTCCTCACCGTATCTCTTAGGGAATTCCCAACCACCCTGCAGAGGAGGCAAATTTCAGCCACGTGTGGATCTTGACTGGTAATCTGAGAGCTTTGTCTTTTGGTTGAGCTCTCTATTAACCTGAAATGACCGGTGAAGCCTCTGCACAATAGCAGCAGCCACTGCAATCCATCTGTCGATTTCTTGCTCCATTCACCCCTCACTGGTTAACAGGATCCCAAGATACCTGAACTCCTCCACTTGAAGCAGGAACTCTTTTCAAACTTTAAGGAGAAAAGCCACCGTTTTACAGTCTAGAACCATGGCGTCAGACTTGAAGGAGCTGATCTTCATCCTACCATGAACTACACCTGCTAATGCTGTCTTAGCACAAGGGAAGCAGCAGGACGAACAGTTCCCCTAACCAGACTCCCTCCAGCCCTTTGGCTGCACCTAGAAATCCTCTCTATAGAAGTTATGAACAGGACTGGTTATAGAGGCCATAGTATGGTGATTAGAATGTAAGGCACACATGGATAAAGTGGTTTGCCTATAAGCTGTAGTGCTGTAGATAAGTAGATATATTCTTTGGATAGACTGTTGTTTATTTTTTTCAATAGACATCTTTTCATATTCTACACTTTTAGATAGATTTCAAAGGATAAAAACTGAGGTGTAGCATTTTTTTTTAAACTGGGAGTGTAGCTTTATTACAATAAGTGATGCAGACAATAAAAAATATTGATGAACAAGAAGCTGTGTTTCAGTAGTTCTGCTGCATGATATTCTGAGCATATTAGCTTTACTTGGGTGGGTTTGTTTATTTTGTGTTTACATTTGTGTGAGGCAGGTATATATTTTAAATTGAAGAGATGGCTGTCTGTCCACTGTGAATACACGTATGAAATATATTCATCTGAATATTGCCTTCCACACAAAATGACGTCCAATAACTGTATCCCTGAAATGCAGGTTAGCTTGAAACGATCGAATTACACGTGCTTGGTGGTAATAATGGGTCAGAGCCAGAGGCGCTTTTCAACACTTCACAATGTTCTTGTCAGAATTGGCATTCTGAGAGGTAAAGTGGTATGATTCAATGTGATGAAGGTAATCAGAACCACCTCTGGAGAAGATGGGTTTTCAGCCTGTAATGGAAGATGGAATGTGACTCGACTGTTCTGACAGCTGCATGGGTGCATATATGGGAACTAGACTTTTTGGCCTCTTGCAAAAGCTGACCATTTAACCTGATGTGTTCATATGCTCTGCAGAGCAGCGGATTGCACTGAAGAATATTCCTAATGTTGGAGTTTAGAGGTGCCACCGTGGCTAATATTTAACTAGAAATTTGCTCAAACAATGCATACGAATTGAATTAACCTGTCCGAGACCCGGCTGTTCAATTGGGAGCTCATTAGCAGCAGTAGGAGACAGTGTACTTATATTTAGCATTGCTCAGGAATAAGCTGCACCCCTGCTGTCGAGAGGAGTTCTTCTCCAACTGAGCTCATTGCAAAGCACAAAATAATCCCCCCTGAGTTTATCTTTTTACTTATAGCTCTGTGTTATACCTACCACTTCACTGAAACCGAGATAGGCAGAGAGGTAGCAGCTCCCTGGAAAATATGGTTTTCATTTGGAGAGAGTTAAAGTTCTATACCAATATTTATCAGTAATTTGATGAAATTTTAAAGGATTTTCATTCATACAGAAATATTTAAATGTCCAGTCGTAAGTCCATCTGTTAGATTTTGGGAGAACAAACAAACCTTAGGAAGAAAGCAGGACTTGTCAAATTGTTTAATGCCCCAAAAGCATGGGAGGTTTTTTGTGAGACCAATGTCCTCTTGATTTTATTGAATCTCTATTGCAACCAACTGGCCCACCTTCCACATGATGGTAGTATTTCTATACTTTCAATATTAGAATTGTTGTTTTAACTTATAAATTCAAGTGCATGATGATTAAAGTTTCTCAGCAGAAAATACTCATTTGAGTGGAGGAAACTATGTTATCTACCTGAACCCATCTAACTGGGCCTGGAAGGGATCCAGTGGACATGCATGAAGCATTTGCATCCCAAATAGAGGCAGGCAAAAACAAAACCATAGCAGTACTTTGTCAGTTCTTGTTCTCAGTTGTAAATAATCCATCTTCTTTTCCAACAAATGAACATAAGCAGTTTAGTTACGCCATTGTGCTTTCTGCTTATACTACCTAACCTGCTTATACTATACTACCTAACATCCATTTCTTGTAGATCCCCTATAAGTTGGCCTGGCAGTTGGTTATTGTAGATTTTTCCCACCCATGTTAAAAATTTCCCTTTTCTGCCCATTTGGTCGCACGTGATTGGCTTAAACAAATATTTTGGATATGAGTTGGCATCTCCAGAATTTACTGGAACAAAAATGTTTGACCATCTTTGTAATTAAAAACAATGGCTATGTCAGCAAGCACTAATGCCTGGTTCTATCAAGTGACTAAAACAGACAAAAAAGTAACATAGATTGCCTAAAAACTGATTTTGTCAGTATAACGCCATAGCTACTGATAATTATTACATAGATATGAGCTCTATGGAGTCCCTTTGCACCAAAACTGCTCCTGTCTGCTCTTTATCTCCTCTATTTCACATTGCTTAGACAGATATAGTAATTTTCCCACATTTCCAACAAAACTCCTGTCTTTTTGTGCTTTTCCTCATCCAATTTATCATTCTGATCTTTCTCTTGGTTGCTACTGATTTAGATGCTTCATTCTCAACAGTAAACTGGCAAATTGATTGCTAGAACTCTGCAGTCACCTCAAATTGATTGTTAGACACAATATCAAGGTTTTGCTCGGGTCATCAGTCTCAGAAGGTGTTGATAGAGATTAGTCATGAACATGGCTGGCATTACTGCCCTTCTCATGTTGGCACCTGGCTTTAGAGTGTGGGGTGCAGCATCCTGTCCTTTCCACACACACTCTCACACACAGAGCAGTTCTCACACCTCTATCTGCAAACTGTGAGACATTGCTTTAGGATAGCATTCGTTTTGCCACATAATGATGACCAGTCTGCAGAAACAGGCATTCAAAAGGCTTCTCCTCCCACTCATGAAGATAAATCTGCTTCTAAAATGTTTTCTCCTCAAACGTTTCCAAGAAATGACAATAAATGCACAAATGCAAAGTCACTATGAAAGAATGTTGTTAGTTTGCAGCCACTTAGTTCTCCTATAGGTGGTTTTTCAAAGAGAAAGATCCAAAATCCCAATCTGAGCCCCAAACCTTTTCTGTTTTTCCAAGCACATGTTTTGTGTAATCAAACAGGCTGCAGATTGAATCAATGTTTGTGACTGGATTAGAAAATAGGAGGGTTTTTTTCATAAAAATGCAAATTAGTGCAGCTGTATGGGTTCGTATCGGGTCTTTTTCTGTGACAGCATGTAGTTCACTCTTTTTCCCAGCAGAGAGAGCTCCAGCAAGGTACCACAACTGACAGGCTTGACTTTCTATGTAGAGACTCATGGACATAGGAAAAGGTTGCCTCAGTGTTTATAATAGATACATTTCGGGGGGGTTTTTGGATCCTGTGTAGAGAAATGTTGCAATAAAAAAATAAATATACATTTTTAAACAAATGATCAGCTCTACTGAGTGTAATAATCACATTGAATATATGAAATTCTTCATTTTTATCCTTTTTTTTTCTTAGTATTTAAATCAGCTGTACATGTCTTACTATAAAACAAGTATTTTTTTAAGCACAATTAAATGTCATTTTTAAAATAAATATCTTTAATCATGTTAATTCCTTTGAAATTTGTCATAAGTTTATGTATTGTTTTATTCGTATCATCATCTCTTTGCAGTACATTGGAAACAACCTTCGACACGACGGTGACGACTGAGGTGAACGGGCGGAGTCTCCCCGCCCTTGCTGCTCGTTCCTCCCCCATGGCCTGGCGTCTTGGCCAAACCCAGACCCCACGTCTCCAGGCAGGAGAAGCCCCCTCAATGCCAAGCGGGTATTCTGCGCCCAGATCCAGCACAGCGGGCGCTACCGCCAACACAGGCCGTTACAGCGGGCACTCTGACCCCTCCAGGTTTGTAACGTTGATTATACGAAAAAACTCAATTTACATAAAAGCCCCTTTTAGAAAAAGTACTTTATTAAAACATTTTATTAACCTTTAAACAAAGACTAACCATTAAATTTAAACATTTCAGATATTAATGCTAGGTAGCTAGTTATCTTCATATCCGCCATGTTGGATTGGTACCAATGTTTCCACTTGTTTTAGGATGCTGTCAATCACTCACCAAGTTTTAACACTAAAGAATAATGAGAAAAACTAAATATACTCATAATAGCGTAAGCTTAAAATCAATGGTCCTACATCTCTACTTTGGCACATCTGTCTCATAGATACTCTTCCATAAGTCTGGCTCATTTCGATAAAACTCATGCTGCTATGATCCTTTGGAAGCCCCTTCCAGGCTACAACTGGTCTCCTGAGATCTCCTGAGAAAAACAGGACAAAAATGGCAAAGTTTGAATAAAGTCTGATCATATAGTTTTTGCCTTTATCTTTTTTTTGTTTGTTTTTTATTAAAGTTTATGTTCAGAATTATTTTTAACCTGTTTGGCAAAGCATGAACAGTTTTTTAAACAACAGGGAAGAAACCTTTCAATCTGTAGACTCTGAACGCTGTTAGCTACGCATTTTAGAGCTAAAAATGTTGGTTTTTAAAGAGGTATTTTCAGAAATTCATCATTTAAGAGCTAAAAATGTTGGTTTTAAAGAAATATTTTCAGAAATTCATCATTTAAGAGCTAAAAATGTTGGTTTTAAAGAAGTACTTTCTGGAATTCATCATATAAGAGCTAAAAATGTTGGTTTTAAAGAATTATTTTCAGAAATTCATCATTTAAGAGCTAAAAATGTTTGTTTTAAAGAATTATTTTCAGAAATTCATCATTTAAGAGCTAAAAATGTTGGTTTTAAAGATGTATTTTCAGAACTTCATCATTTAAGAGCTACAAATGTTGGTTTTAAAAAATTATTTTCAGAAATTCATCATTTAAGAGCTAAAAATTTTGTTTTTAAAGAAGTACTTTCTGAAATTCATCATATAAGAGCTAAAAATGTTGGTTTTAAAGAATTATTTTCAGAAATCCATCATTTAAGAGCTAAAAATGTTGGTTTTAAAGAAGTACTTTCTGAAATTCATCATATAAGAGCTAAAATGTTGGTTTTAAGGAAGTATTTTCTGAAATACATCATTACTTTTCTCATTATAGATCCTTCTACTTCCTCTTAAACTACTTCCAAGGTCTATTTGACGAGTGACATGAGTCATTTCCATTCAGAGTTTGTTCAAAAGTGCTCAGAAATGAATGTTTCGCTGGCTTTTCACACAGCAAACCAAGGCCTCATTCTTCTTTCTCTACATCAGGACAAATAGGCTGCTGTCATCCACCAAGGCTGTCTTTGGCTTTTTCTTGCCTTGAATAGGAAGAGTTAGATAATGCATTTACGCAGACTGTTGGCTCTTAATAAAATAATAGATTACCTCAATAAGAAAGGAGAGAAGCTTCGTCAAAAGCATCAAAATGCCTCTCTGGCTGGTGACCTTCATTAATTACTATGGTAACGAATGATGTAAAAGCCTCTTTCTCACTTCCATATCAATACAAACTCACATATTTCTACCATATGCTTAAAAGTTTCCAAACATTAAATATAAGCTGGAGAAATCTGAGCAATTTTACACATTTTACAAATTACTTAATCCAATTTTGAACAGAATAGTGGTTTATATCAAGGTAGAATTATGCCTCTGCGTAGTTGATGGGCGTTAAATTTACATTTACTGAATTATTATTGAGGTTTCCTGTACATCTTAAAGTTGATACTGCAGTTTGATGCTGTGTTTATTGGAGAAAAACAAATTAAAATCAAATAAAAAAATTAATGTATGAAAGACAAAAGCAATTGTTTTAGATATACATTTTCAGTTTTTAACTTCTTTTTCCGTTCTCAGATACCTAACCGACAGTGGCCTCCACCTGTATGCTAGGAATACAGGTCGATCCTCAGATGTGGCTTCACCCCGAGAGAACACGCAAAGAGGAAGCAAAGAGATGCAGGGAGACATTGACAGGTAAGGACAGAATCAATCAGCGTTGCTGTGATGGATGGTGTCTGTTTCGAAAGCAAAATTATTTGATCCACTAAACACAAAACAGAAGTGTGATGATTAAAATGTGTCCTAATAATCATGATATGCATTCATATTCCTCACATGTGTTTCTGGGAAACTGAATCAAAGTTTATTCCTTGTTAAGACTGCACTTTGATGTGCTCTTAATGATGTTTGAAAAAATCCCAAATAAAGGAATAACATGGAAGGGGATTAAACTAGTTTGGTGATCATTGGCCATGATCAGAGGTTTCAGGAAAATTTAGAGAGATATTTATGAGTTTGCAGTTAAATTTAGTGAGCATACATCCAGGAGAAAACGACTGGGAAGGACTACTGTATTAATGTTAAAATACTGGAGTAAAAAAACTGAGAAGGAGTCATGCTTTAATTCTGTGATGCCTTTCCTTTCACTGCAGGCTGTTTTTATGCAAAGCATTGAGGAGTAACGAGATGGCGAAGTAGCTTAATAAAGACAGATATTTCCTCTGGTATTAAAAGCGGAACCAAAAGGGAAACCTAAGCTGCTGTAGCACTGTTTCCCCTGTTGCCATGAAAACGCTTTACTGAGCTTTAAACATGAGGGAATTAAAATTTAAATAATAACAGTACTTAATGTTTCTCTGTTTTGTACAGTGCATCTGTATAAGGATAAATTAAGTTATATTATATGGCTTTTGCTACCATGGCTGAAGTTTATTTGCCACACTTATGGATCAGTTGACCAACTGAGGATGAAAGCTCAACTTGTGGGGATTCAGTAAATTTGATGGTGTAAATACTAGAAAATCAAGCTTTCTTCAGGCTAAAGTCATGCGAAATCATGACAGTAAATCTTCATCAGTGCAGACAGAGCATCTGCATAGGTTAGAATGTGATTAGAAGATTCTCAATTCACAAGAACGTGAGAATGGACTCATGTTCTCACCGATTATGTTCCTAAGAAGAAAACAGGAAGTATGGACTTGGTGAGAATGGGAGCAGGCCAAGCAAAGCTGTGTCAAGTGGAACAGAAACGTACTCATGACATCAACATTCAAAGCAAGTCTGGAGCTGCATTTTAACCTCCTGATATTAATAGTCTCTAAAAAATAATAAATTATTACTTTTTTTCATTTAGAGGGGAAATAATGATTAACACAGTCGAATAAACACAAATAAACGTTTCGCCAAATGAAACAACAAATCGCCATCAGAGCCAGCAGTACTTTACACACGGCTATGCCGGGGGACGGCTGCTGCAGACGGGCTGACGTTAGCCCTTGCTGCAGTTAGCATCAGAGCTCGCTGGTTGCCACTGTCCTCTCAGCATCTGAACTTTTTTTTAAATTACCGGTACGCACTAAACCAGTAAATGGGCAATATAGAATAATGTTATCGCCTTAAATGATGTTAAAATGTACTTTTACAGAGTAACAGCAACAGAAAAGAGAACTTTTACTACTCTGAGCTCTGTGAGCGCTGCACTAGAAATTGCTTTTGTTCAAGCGGCATTTTGTTCAATCTCAGTGTTCTTGTGAATTAGAACAGTACTGGGACTGAGTCTGATGACATTTATATTTTAAATATATATCATGACCACTACATTATTTAAATCATGGCTTTCCAAACCATCTTTTATTACATTAATACATAATCGGTTTTCTACTTATTTCATGGTACAGAAGGTGAAGCAGCTGAAGAGGTGTTGGTTTAAAGCTGGCAAGAAAGATTGCAGTGACTGACATTAACAGAGGCTGTAAGAAATTGACTGACATCGTGGTATTTCCCACTGTCACAGCTCCTAGCTGAACCAAGGCAGAGCAGGAGGTGGAAATAGAGACTAGTGTCAAAATCAGATTACATCTGAAAACATTTAGACTACTTTTATTCTTTTGCTTTCAATTAGAGCAGATTTGTTAGAACCCTTCAGCAAACCTGACAGCATGTTTCTGCCGCATGACGATGTAATTAAAACGGACTGGTGATTGATGCCTGTGACTTTATATTTACCAACCCGCTATAATCCTGTTGTTGGAGCTTCTGGTCGTTTCTATAAAGTGTGCATCATTTATTTAAAAAAAGGTTTTAAATCTTTATGCATTATTTTGTTATACTGCATGGGTTAACTGTCACAAAAACAGGAGACCGTTTTAAGATTTGAGTTTTACAAGCGCTGCATGCTTTTAAGCTCTTGTGACAAAAAAAGCTCAGAACCCATAAGAAGAAGAAAAGGCAAACAGAGTTAAGTCAAAAGGTTTCACACTGTGGAATAAACTTAGATTTTAAAGCAGAATGTTTTTCCTCCTCCATGTAAGTCGCTGAGAATAAGCAATGAGTTTCTCTGAATATATTGACTTTTAGATTGATAACCACATCTTTTCAAAAAAGATCCTATTTTACTGTATATTTGAAATACTTTCAAATACTTTCTAGAATGGTGAGGCAATCATTTTACTTTTACCTGGGGACAGCCAAACAAAAGCATCCCGAATAGGGGTATCAAATTATCAAATTTGAATTTTTTCAGGGTTTTTTTATTTATCTCTTCCCTCAGACATTAAAAAAGGAGTTCTCTAACAGTTCAGTCTCTGTCCGACTCTGGAAAAAAACATTAAAAAAAAAAAAAAAAAAATGTCATTCCTTTAGTCAGATTATTGGAAATTTATGTTTGGGTTATGTTGAATCTAAAAGTGATAAATAAGATTGTCCATACGGTGGTATGTGGATGTGCATATAAATGTGTGTAATCTAAAACTCTGTGTGAGTCTGTGTTTGTGAGTGTAGATAAAGTTTTACAGCATATGGGAGGCTAATAATAAACAGGCTGCACCTGCAAACTCCAGCCTCTGCCAAACTGAGTGAGAAAATTCACGAATGAGGGTTGAATCTCGCTTTCCTGTGACTGTATGAAAACTTAACATATCATTTTTCTTTTTTTTCTATTGCTACTCTTTAAATTGCTCCTAATTTCCCTTCGAAATTGCTTTCTTCACTGCATCCTTTTACCATTTTTAATACACTAAAGCAGGGCGTATTATTAAGACTTATTCATTCTGCAAAGGTTGCTGTTAAATCATGTTTTTCTGCGTAATAGTTATGGAGTGAATTTTGTTCTATTGTTGCAAACAAATGCATTTTCTAAATGGAATATTTGAAAAAAAAAAGTCAGGAAATTAAACTTTGAAAAACAGAACTTCTTATGCATTTTCTTTCCCAATTTTCTTTTTCATTTCTCTTTTTTGTATTGACTGTAGCAAATTGCATTCTTTTTAAATAGTGATTTACGGATCACATTCTCTTCACTTTCAGAGCTTTCTTCTCTCAAAGAGATTTCAAAAAATGAAAAAATCTGTCAAATCAAATCTTTCTAAACATTAAATCAAAATGTTTTGATTCTTTTTTATAAAATCTAATAACACAGCAAAGTTTTTCTGTCAATAAAAACCTTTTTTTGATAAAACATATTTCAAAGTTTCATTTCTGGATGTTTTTTTTTTATTATTTCCATTTACAGAACATATTCTCTGTTTGTATCCTCAGCATGTGTATCTGAATAGTTTGTTAAACCTTTTCACCTCTCTCTACTTTAAAAAAAGTACTTTGCATTTCCTTACCTGTCTCTGTGTTATTGCAAATATTGATTACTGGCTTCCCTTTGGTTTCCTAGGCAGCAGTATCCCCATAAGCTCAGAGTTTGAACTATGAAAACCTTGTTTTTCTTTGTTGCTTCCTTTCCTTTTTTCTCAGAAAACTGTATAAATGGAGATAAAAATACCCAATGCTTCCCCCAGCATTGCTGTGACGAGTGATTGTCAGAGGCTGAGCTGACACGTCTCACTGACATACACCAGAGCTCAGGGGGGAAATTCATAAGCAATTGCTCGGCAGATTTCACACCTCAGCCTGGCTTTACCTCTGCAGGACAAGACCTGCCTCTCATGACTATTTTATTTGATGAAAAAAAGCCTGATTTTCCCAAAACCTCTGGCTGGAGGTGAAATGAAAATCGGATAAGTCCCAAGTTCAAACAATCTGTTTACCACCTTACATTCGGACAATTTTCACTACCAGAAAGAAGCAAGCTGGAAATCCAGTTTAAAAAAGTACAAGAGAAGCATTTAGCTTCATTTTAGAGAGAAATCCTGACTGACAGTCATATTTTCTTCAATTTTACTGTTTCAATTATAAATGAGGTGGGAGAAAATATGTAAAACGATCTAAAACGTACACTCTGATCATATCAGATGCAAATGATTTAGTATACCTGTCTAGTTTGCGGTAAAAAAAAAAGGTAATTTAGTTTAATTTATGCAGGAAATACTTGTATTGTTTGCACTTGTAAGTACTGAACAATTGGAGAAGTGTAGCTAGATGCAGAATAGATATACAGTTTGGAACAAATAGTTTTTCCACTAAGCATAAAGTGACTCTTTGCTCAACAGAAATGACTAAATACTGGTTTTTAAAATTAAATTGTTTAAAAATGAAGGCTCTCATTAAATGACCTCGGTGTGATATTGTAGCAGCATATAATTCATTTTCCTCCCTTTCCAATTCTTCAGGCCCACTTGGACTGAGCTTTTCGGAAGCATAAAGTAGGAGCTGATCTGTGTACATAAACCAACCCCCAGGAGGCTCATTATGCTTCATGCTTTTTCACAGTCTGTACTCTAACAGCTTCATTCTAAACCAACTAAAAATCCCAGCAGAATTGGATCTAAATGACTCATCATGTCACAACAGAAATGCACAAATCAACAGTTTTACAGCTCTGACATTTTAGTGCAGGGATCACTCGTGAGAGGCAGGGATTGAATCGGTAACTTTCTGTTTACGGTAGTCACAAATTCTCTGGGATTTGCAACAAGTCAAGCTTTGCCATAACGGGAAGTAAAAATGTCAAGCTGGAATATAAATATCAAATAATTTCTATTTCCATTTCAGGTCATATCCTTTCAAGAGACTCATTCTGGTTTATT